ACTTCTAAGCATTACTTCTGACATGTATGTCAATATACAATCCACATTCAAAATCTTACACATTTAGGAAACTTTTAAAACGGGTTTTTTTGGTGTTTTTTTGGTTGGTAGATTGCCTGTTGAAACAAATTATGTTTTAAAAGTTTGTTCTTTGAGCAAACATTATAAATAGAAAGATAGAATGTAAGAGGAGCGATATTATTAATTACGTCGTATTTCCAGTTAAGAGTGAAAGAAAAATAAATTGAACCAAAAGAAAGAATGAAGATAAAGACGGAGATAGCGAGTTCAAACTGGAGGACAATAGAGAAATATTATTAGAATTAGAGGCAGAGATAAATATTATTTCAGGACGATAGAGAGTGCAATAAGACGATTCTAGGAGAGAGAAAGAAAAGATGATTGCGAGAGAGAAAATTGTTTTGTGACGATTAAATCCATCTAATGACATTCCAAAATAAAACAAAAATATAAATTTTCTACATGAAAAAAATGTGTTGCGTTCAGTTGTGTCAGAAAAAATGTTTAGATATTTATATGATGCAATACTTTAGCTGGCCTTATACGTCAGCTGGTCTTGGCCTTACACACCACCGAGGTCTTACACTTACACATCAGCTGGTCTTACACTTACACATCAGCTGGCCTTACGCTTATACATCAGCTGGTCTTACACTTCACCTGGTCTTACACTTACACATCACCTGGTCTTACACTTACACATCACCTGGTCTTTCACTTACACATCAGCTGGTCTTACACTTACACATCAGCTGGTCTTACACTTACACATCAGCTGGTCTTACACTTACACATCAGCTGGTCTTACACTTACACATCAGCTGGTCTTACACTTACACATCAGCTGGTCTTACACTTACACATCAGCTGGTCTTACACATCACCTGGTCTTACACATCAGCTGGTCTTACACTTCACCTGCTCTTACACTTACACATCACCTGGTCTTACACTTACACATCACCTGGTCTTTCACTTCCACATCAGCTGGTCTTACACTTACACATCAGCTGGTCTTACACATCAGCTGGTCTTACACTTACACATCAGCTGGTCTTACACATCAGCTGGTCTTACACTTACACATCAGCTGGTCTTACACATCAGCTGGTCTTACACATCAGCAGGTCTTACATATCAGCTGGTCTTACACATCACCTGGTCTTACACTTACACATCAGCTGGTCTTACACATCACCTGGTCTTACACATCAGCTGGTCTTACACATCACCTGGTCTTACACTTACACATCAGCAGGTCTTACACATAACCTGGTCTTACACTTACACATCAGCAGGTCTTACATATCAGCTAGTCTTACACTTACACATCAACTGGTCTTACAATTGTGCATCAGCTGGTCTTACACATCAGCTGGCCTTAATCAAAAGTTGATTGAGCTTATAAAATATTAGAGGTATTCAATATTTAGATATTCTGGAATATGGCCATACAGGAGAAGTTCAACTTTTCAATGAAGCTATTTTATGAAAGCTGTACAATTTGAATTTTTTTTTTAAGCCAGAGAAGAAACATGGACCTGGACAAAAAAATCAAATGCATGTTAATCCTGATTTTTATTAATTCTGCAATTGAATCTTAAATTAAAAAAAAAACAAATTATGATAAAAGGAGATTGATAAATGGATTTAAATTCTCTTGTGGTTCAGAAAAAAAAAAAAAAAAATCAAAAAAAAACTTTAAAAAAATAAAATATAATTAAATTCAAATAATGCATGTTAATCCTGATTTTTATTAATTATGCAATTAAATCTTAAATTAAAAAAAAAACAAATTATGATAAAAGGAGATTGATAAATGGATTTAAATTCTCTTGTGGTTCAGAAAAAAAAAAAAAAGAAATCAAACAAGAACTTTAGTAAAATAAAATATAATTAAATTCAAACATTATAAACTAGAAGATCTGATACATGTAACGTGGTACCAGGATAATAATGGAAAGCATATTGTCTTACTTTCCATCTGCTATTGCTAAGTCTTAACATCTAAAACTCCAATTTTTAAGTACGTAGCTGAAGCCGGTTTTGGTGTATTAATGTTATATCCTTAAATTTAAAAAAAAAAAGTTTTCAATGCACTTGAAATACACATTTTGGAAATAATGGTAAATCAGACTTTCTTTATTTTTAAAGAATTATCTATGCATATATGTTTAAGTTTCTAAAATCAATGGCTTTTGATAACTTTTGTCTTCTGCATAATATAGGCTAGGCCTACCCAACCCTGAACACCAAAGTAAACACATGTCCTTAACTATAAAAAAGAATCTTTGTACCGTTTAATAATACTTACATTTTAAAAATTACATATGTTTGTATATAAGCATGTTTGTTTTATCGGATTTAAATTCATTTGATTTATGTAAAATAAAAAAAATAAAAATTACTATTATTTTTAAGAAATCCATTTAGTGCATGAATTTTAATTTCACACCTATGCAACACCAATTTCCATCTTGTTTTGTGCAGTTACTGAGAATTGAAATTAGCATTACGATGGAACCATCAGCTTATTCATGTAGTTATGTAAAACATTTGATTGATTGCTTAAGACAGTGGTTGGCAAACCGCGACTAGCGAGCGGCTCTTTAGCGACCTGAGTGCGGCTCTGCCAGTTGTCCACAAATCGGTTTTGACTCCAATAAACATGGTTCCCGACAAAAAAATTTGGATCTCAAAATTTTTTAATGGTCCTGCTGCTGATTTTTGGATCTTTTGACTAATGAGTTTTCCGACCACTGGCTTAATTTAAAACAAAAAAAAAGCAAATGGATGTAAAGTAACATGAATTTGGAAAGTTCCTACATTGGATTAAAAAACAATTATATTCTTTATAGACCGGTAGAATTAACTTTGAAAAATAAATTCAATTAAAATAAAATGTTATATGAAGATTTTAACTTTACAAATGTGCAAGGAATTAATTAGATAAAACACATAAGACAAGATGAGAGAACAAAAAAACAAAACGCTTTAGAGCAGTATTTTTATTAGTTGTATTGCTTTCAACTTAAGATCTTTAAAACTGAATGGAATATGTATTTAAAGAAATGTTGATTCACTGAGAGCATTCCGGTGTCAGTCTCTCACACACACCTTTATCAATTTATGCTTATTCCAGCTAATTTCTGTCATACAGACACTGGCATAAAATTAAAACTTTTGAATATATTTATATGTAGATGTATGTATATTTTAATGATGATAACATGACAAATTAAACCAGGGTGGTGACTATGTATCCTTTACTAGCAGTCAACTCAGGTTAGTTATAGTTATCCCTCATAGAAAAAATATCATTTGGAAGATGATGTAACAATTTTAAAAAACATTTGATTTTATTTTTAAAAAATATGCAAAATATGGATTCAAAAAATTGGTTCTGACTTAAATACTGCCAGGACTTTTGAAGCTCATGCAACCAGTCAATTAATTATGTGTAAGTCATTTTCATGTAGACATGTTAAAAACATAAACTTATGTTTAAAAATGTCAGGAAATCTCATGAATCTAATTGTGTTCGTGATTTATAACCATTTCACATCATTTGTTATTTTCTACAAAAACATTAGTAATAAAAAAACAACTTTGCATTGCATTTAAACAAAATTAGTTAAAAATTAAACTTGGTTCAGACTGGTACAGGTACACAGGAATATTTTAAGCAATAGTTACTGAGCAGGAATATTTTAAGCAATAGCTACTGAGATACAAGTCAACAGGTTTTAAATAAATTATATTCAAGATTTGTCTATTCTAGCAAAAGTGATGGGGCTAGAGGGGGTGAAGTCAACACTGTGTGTGTGTCAAAATTTTAGCATCCGATTGATGATAATGCATAAGTCAAGATTCCACATCAAAATAAAAGGTATTAATTTTAAAATGAATAACTGTCTATTACTATTATTGAAAAAATGGACCTCTAGGCATGGCAAGTTTTCAAACCAGTTATCACAACAAAAAGGAGCTCGCAAACATTGCTGTTGGGTAATAACTATCATGGATGCAGCTCTAAAGCTGCTCTATGAAATGTAGTCTCTTGTTATGTGTCAGGAGCAACAAGGAGATAGTATTTTAATGAATTATATATTTTTAAAATGTACAATTTAAAAAAAAACAACAACTGCAGAAACATTGCAAAATCTTGCGTAATAGAGGGCAGCCAAAGATCTTAAAAATAGTAAATATGAATGAAAGAACTACATGATTTATTTCAATGAACTGGGCCCTCCTCAGCGGTGCTAATAAAATAAGAAAATGTACCTTGTCCAAAGTCTGATAAAAAAATTGCACAGCAGAGAACAAAGATGAAATGTCAAAATATGAAAAGTGCTGCCTTACCAGGGTTGATTTTTAGCTCACATTACAAAATATACTTGTATAGTCTGTAGTTGGGTGGAAAGGTGGCTGAGTCTATATAAAATTAGGACAGTTAACTGTAAGAAGTTTATAAGCTGGCAGAGACCTAATACCTTTTCAGGACATCCCATTCACTCAAGTCTGCTAATCTACAAAATATCAGATAGCCAGGTAAACTGCTATAACTTAGGTAAATAAACTGCTTAACTCTTAGGGAGCTAACCCCCAAGAGAAGCTGGAGACTCAAAAGAAATTTAAAAAAAAACAAAAAAAGCACCACACAATTAACTCTTTACCTTCTGGTACCGGTACTGAGTTTTTCTCTGTGTTTGGGCACACGAAAATTCCATAACAACTTTTTTGTTTCACTAAAATATTGCAGTAAAAAAAAAGAAAAAAAAAGAAAGAAAAAAAAAAAAAAAAAAAAAAAAAAAAAAAAAAAAAAAAAAAAAAAAAAAAAAAAAAAAAAAAAAAATTCTGGTACCGGTACTGAGTTTTTCTCTGTGTTTGGGCAAACAAAAATTCCAAAAAAAATTTTTTGTTTCAAAAAAAAAATGCAGAAAAAAAAAAAAAAAAAAAAAAAAGAAAAAAAAAAAAAAAGGACTGACTAAAAAAAATAATTGCTTAGTATTGCAAAGCTGAAACATCAGAACTTGGTCCATATGCACCTGTATAAAATGCAGATATGGTGGCAAACTATAAGAAGAGATAACAAGCACCAAATAAATAAACTGTAACGCTCAAACATAGTACAATGCAATAACAATAGTAAATAAAGGTACTGCAGCCTGATACATTATATTAAGAAAACTATTCAGTTACTACGAGACTGGCAACAGTTATTTTGAGCTCTGGCTGTGAGCTTGCACTTTGGTCCTCAACAATATGGCCCCCAATTTGGCACTCCCTACCCCTTAGTGGTATCTAGTTTTTGTTGCCCCCAGTGGTCCCCAAATTTGTGTATTTTCAGTGGTCACAAATCTTTGTTTTCTGACTGTGTGTTCCTCCGGTTGTCTCTGAACAAAAAACTTTTAAAATTCCTTTTTGACAAAATTCTAAAAACTAAAATCATGGATAGAATTAACAAATGTTAGAAACTTCAATGGATTCAAGGTTAGATAACTGATTTCATTTATTTCAAGAAGTGTCTTCTATCTTAAAAGAAACAAAAAGGTTATTAGCATGTACCAAAACCTATTAGATTTACTGTCTACTGGCTTGGTGATGCTTGCAGCATAATGTTAATATTAGCTATGAGTCATGAGTGATCTGTCAAATACAAATTAGACATTATTTTTATTTCTTTATGTCCCAATTGATGATTTCTTCAATTAGTGGTTTCTTCAATTGATGTTTACTTCAATTAAAGGTTACTTCATTAGTTTAAATTTAAAAATAAAAAATATTTGATGAAATTATTAAAATAATTAGCATCTCTAAAATAAACTATCCACAAATTTTCTACATATTATTGTGGTATAGGCAATTTTCAAGTCCAAAGCAACTTTTTGACTGTTTACAAACTGACAAATACAATATTACTGGTGACTTTGAAATTTGGTGTTTGATGGTTAAATTTGTTGGAAGCCCCCAAGAATACTGACCTAAGCCAGATTTTTAAAAAAATGATGATTTTTATCTCCTTCTCCTTGTGTTTGATCTATCTCTGTCATCTCCTCTTTCTCTCTTGTTTCCCCCCTTTTCTTTGTGGAGAGGAGGTGATGGTGATTCAGACTCTCTCTTACTGCAAAATGCTGCTTTCATCTCCTCAAAGGATTGGTACAACAATACCAGGGGTATTACAACCCACAGGCCATTGAAAAACGTAAGGTACACCCAGAAATACATGGAAGAGCTGGTGTCTAAGTTTTTACTTCCAGTCAGCCATTCCGGACAGAAGGTCATCCAACCTACAAAAAATAATTGTGTATGCATGAATGGTTAAGATTCAACACAGCTCTTACAAATTTAATGTAACAGTGCATTGACCCTCTAAAACTAAAACCAAAGAAGTGGAGTACTGACCTCCATAGAGCTCACAGACGCACAGCACAATCTGAAAAAAATGTCGATAATACTGTTTGGTCAGGATACACCAGATTAATATGCAGCATAGCAATCCATCAAGAACTACGGTCAGTATTTCCAAGGAGACCACGGTTGGGTCAGAGAAAAGCCACCTCTTGTCAGCTTTGCCATACTCCTTCCCTTTAAATAAAATTGGTATAGATCAGAAAGAATACAGACATTTTAACCTTAAATCACATTTTCAAGGTGATAATACGAGTCAGGGGGGTCCCAAGTAAATCACTGTTATTAAAAGGAACATGATGTGTACAAACATAGGAAGAAGCTTAACTTAAGTAATACAGAGTTAATGTAAATGATTTGTAAAAAAGCCTTCCTAAATTTACATAATTCATGCAAAAATATTTACAATTTAAATTTACAAATAATATATAAGATACCTCATACTGGTGATGTAAAATTACCTGGGGTCTTACTTAAACACAAGAGAGGGTGCAAAAAATAACTATTATTAGTAATATAACGAATACATCAATATAAAATCCTTTAGAGTAATATTATTTTCAATTTTATCAAAAACAGTTTAACTCTTTTTCAGACTTTTGTGATATGGAAAATGAATAAATATAGGTAAACTTGAGTGAGAAAAAACTATAGTGCAATGTCAATGCAAAACCACCGAAAATCGGGAGTCTAATACACTACCCTGACTCTGGATTAATCATTAACAAATTTTGAAAAAACAGATTAATAAGAAAACTTCATGTTTGACATTGAAATTTAAAAAAAAATTTCAAGCAGCCAAACATGAAAACAGTCCCACCGTGACACCAAAATTCAGATTTGCATACCAATACCATTAGTCGAAATAAATTTCTTTGGTAACAGAAACATCCCTTCAAAAAAATAGCTTTGATGCCCAAAAAAAATTCCAACTTACAGAGCAATGAGAGGATGTGTTCAGAATCATTCACTGTGCCAAACAGGGATATTATTACAAACGCTCCTTCCTATAAACAAAAGTACAAAAAAACAACATTTGAAGTCTAAATATATTCAAGTAACCATTAAAATTAAACTTGGTCAAACCTGTCAACAACTTCAGAATAAAATCATGTAAACTTTTAATTAGCTTAAACCTTAAAGTTAATTAATAGCCACTAATTGACTTTAAAAACAATTTGTTATTGAATTTTGAAATCATGTTTATGAATCTTAATAAATCCACATCTAATGACAAAGGACATTTATTTTAACAACTCACAGAGAAGAAGTTATCATTCTAACAGTCAAGTAAACTTATTTTATCAAACCTCCCCCACCCCTAGAAATTTTCAACATCAAATGGATTTATTACAAATACTTTTCAATCTTCAAACAGCCCTTAAAATTGCACCTTGACTGAAAAATTAATCATATAAATGCCTCAAGATAATTGATCACAGGAGAAATAAATCATGGAAAAGTTAATTGCGAGGATAATTCATTGTGATATTTTAGCCTAAATTAAGAGAATTCCATATAAATAGTGTGAAATTTTAGGAAATAGTGTGATTTGCTATTTTATAAATTTTACATTCTGCCTACGCATGTGTAGGCCTAGTTTTTCAGTCAGATATTTGAAATGCCTTTAATTTATTAACATTATTTTAAGTTTGAAAAACAGATATCTATTTACCAATCTTCAGCCCCCAACCTTTTACTTCCAACGGGACCCTACTTCCACCTCAAGCCCTCTAATTTGCTCATCAATCACCATTATCCACTGCCCTTCATCATAACAAACTTTTCAAAATCTCCCACCCTATACTCTTTAATATTAACAGTTGGAATGACTGTTTGGTCCAATCAGCACATAAAACTAATACAAGTTTTATAATAAAATGTGTTTATTTGCTTTGCATACCCAGGTTACCCACAACCCTCTGAATTAAACACTGAATACATAAACACATATTCAACATAGAAAGTCATGCTCATATAGCCTCTCAAAATTGTTCTCATGAATCAGTAACAGTGGCTTAAAAAACAAGGACCACCTCAGTCTTCACAAACTCTAGCTAGGCTACTCCAATTTTGTTTATCCTCAACGTTAGGTACTTCACTTAAAATTTCAAAGTTGTTATACATTAATGAAACTATATCATTAGAAAGGACTCAGTATTTCCTTTCCATTGATACCTAGTTTATCTTTCTATCTTAATTAGAACAAAAGTTATGGTATTTTTAGTGTCAGAATTTTTCCTTATATAGCCTTAGTAAATATTTTCCAAAATTCTGTGACCGAAAAAAGACATCTTTGACACTCAAAATGCGATAACTTTTTATTCAGCAAAGTTAAAGCTCTGAAATTAGCAACACATTTCAATTAAGTTTTTGGCTTTAATAATAAATCATTGTTATGCAAATACTACAACAAACATATTAATGTGTGCGATTTGACGAACAGAGGGTACATAAATTTCATTTAAAACGTAGCGCCTGCTCTCAATGCACAAAATGCCTTAACTTTTTTACCTGTGAAGATAAAGCCTCAAAATTTTCAGCACAGTTTAATTAGGTATTGGGCTTTTATAACAAGCCATTTCCATATTAATATTTTGACTTATGTATTAATGCACGGGATTTGACGGACAGAGGTTATGTAAATTTCATTAAAAACATAGTGCCTGTTCTCAATACTCTAAATGCCATAACGTTTTTACCTGTGAAGATAAAGCCTTCAAATTGTCAGCAAAATTTAAGTAGGTATTGGGCTTTTATAATAAGCCATTTTCATATTATTATTTTGACTTATGTATTAATGTGCAGGATTTTTACAACAGAGGGTAAGTAATTTCATTTAAAATATATCGCCCGTTCTCAATACTCAAAATGCCATAACTATTTTCCCTGTAAAGTTAAAGACTTCAAATTTTCAGCATAGTTTAATTAGGCATTGGGCATTTATAATAAGCCATTTAAATATTAATACATCAATAAATGAATTAAATCAGTGGCATTTGAGCAAAAGAGAGTGAGTAGATTTAATTTAAAATTTAGCCTTTTTGTGCATTAAAAATACAAATTGCATAAATGTTACCAATTCAACCTATTGTGTTAATGCACACAATCATCTAGTAAATTAATATTAATTCTGTGAATAATTCCACAGAAAACATTTATAAAATAATGTATTATAATTGATAAGTTGCATTGAAAAAATGCAAATCACATATATGTCAAATCCAATCATCCATGATCCAATCCATGAAATTGATAATCCAAGTAGCCATGCTATTTGAAATCCACAGTACAAGTGCAAATGATGATCACTTAATATTATATTAGTACTTCTATAGTTCATTGAACGGCTGAATAAAAGAGCTATATTTTCTTTCATAGAAAGATGATGGTCACACGTTATGTGTAAGCCGTCCATGGCAATGCTGATCAAATTTGTAACAGTTATAGATACCATTGGAAATGATTCAGTTTATGACACAGATGAATGGAGTCCTGAGTGTAGATATCATTGGTAATGAATGGTTTTCCAAAATGGTTTACTTTGTGTCAATATTGTTGCTTCCACCCATCATGATGATAAATAGGAGTCCTGAGTTTATAAATTGCCATATAAATGCAGTAGTTGGTGAAAAATATCAATAGCTGTTAAGATTATGCTCTGGTGGTCCATATTGTGGTGGATTGTCCAGTTGGACATGCAGTCATACCTGATAGGTTTTTGTAAAAACAGGAAAGACCGGTACAACAATTTAAGTGAAATTGTTCGTGCAGACACATTTTGGCAGGAGAAGCCATATTCCAAAAACGTATCTAGAGATATTTTGCTGAAGCAACACTTGGCACAGCTGGGTAGTCAGTACCTCTAAGCAGAAGAGGCATTATTTCCACTTCCTCGCAACACAAACTCCTTGTAATTCAATGTGGTCTAGTAGTCCAGACAAACTGAAATAGAGATTGAAAATCAATTTAATTAAACACAAAATAAGCATTTTAACATAAGTAACAAAAGGTAACCTTATTTAATTTATATATGTCTTTAATTTAAGATTGTGTAATTCAGTGTGATAATATTGTAATTAAATTATTCATTAATTAAGACAATGGTTATTTTACTTATGCTGTATATCCAGTATGTATAGATATTATACTGTGATGTTCTAACATTACTTTTAATCAGATTAAGTCAAGTAGTTTGTATTTCATATCCATTAAGGAACATTATATCAGATATAAATTTACTTATATAAAAAAGTCTGGTAGTCTTGATGAGTCCTCATGACAGCTGGTGCATCAACTGGAATGGACAGGCATGAATCTTAGGTAATAGAAATACTAGAAAAAAAGTGGTGGGGACATGGCTGTATATTTAAAAGAAAGAAAATACTCAGGAATTTAAATTTAAGAAAGTTTAACAAAATTTTTCATATACAAACTACTAGTTTAGTTGTTTTAAAAATAAAGTTATTCAATGACCAGAATTAAAGATTGGGCTAAGTCTGAAAAGTCAAATATAATAGCTTTGAGCTAAAGCAGTAAAATTTTGAGGCAAGAAAGGAATATACATTTTTTTTTAAAAATAGGGTATACAAAAGGAAAATGAAAAAAGAGAGATAGGTTATTAAGAAGACAAAGGTAAATAAAATAACGAAATTTAATCAAAATAGATGATGACGTTTAGTTTAGTAGCTGCTGAGCCTACTACTACTACAACTATTCATTGTTTACCGTATCTAAACTGGGTTTAAGATAAATTATATAATTAAGGGCATTATTTAATTTCCAAAAATATAATTCACTGTTGTGAAGTTTGATAATTATTACAATTACAACATATATTTAAATTACTCAAGTGATATATCATACAGTTTTGACATGGTTATCACAGATGTAAATTTTATTATTAAAAAAAAATATGAAATTTCATCAAATATTTATAAATTTGTTTTCATTCATGAAATAAAAACAAGTTTAATAATAAAAATGAACTGGATTGCTTTTAAAAACAATAGATTTATAAAGATTTTTGAATACTTCTTATGCAATAAGAATAATAATAACAGAGAATGGTATCACTTCCGGTTCATTTGGCCTAATCGATAACTGGTTATGAATTATTTTCAACTTTACACCCTGTCTATACAATTTTCGGCCTATCTAAATGTCATTATGTTTCTTGTTTCAGTTAGTTAAATCGTTAATACATCAAACACATAAAGAATTAAGTACAACACGATTATGGTTTCCGAAATATAGCGCTAGCAAAATTACCTGTTTTCCCAACGAAAGTTATGTGCCACAAGCCCTGTCAGTCCGGTGAAAAAGTTTATGTTGTAATGATCGTCCTCCTCGTGACTATAGGAAGTTCATTGTCTCTCCCTTAACGTAGACAAAGGAATCTAAATATGACCCCGTGACCTACCGGCATTGACTGGTCGCCGGTTAATGGTCTGTTTCTCGCATCCGAAAAATTGACCGGTGCGCACAGCTTAGTTAAGTACCTACCAACGTCCACTGACCCACTCTTCATTGCTGCTGTCAATAATTTATTAAAAATAAAATTAATAGAAAAGTTTAAAAAGCAGATGTCAGAGACTGAATACAGTACAGCGAGGGTAATCTACCACTTGAGCGTCGGCCGAGAAAAAAATCCAGCTGTTCCGGTTGGAAGGGCTATTTAAACAACTATTCTTATATTATTTTTAATGACATTGGTTGTACGAATTCATTCCCATAATAATAGACAATTTTTTTAAAAAAGAAAAACTATAACAATTTTTTTGAAATAGAAGATAATGTGTGAAAATGGAATTATGCATAGTTCTCCCCCAAGTTGACAATGAAGTTTAAAAAATATAATTTCCACGAAAACGGTTGTGGTACATGAATCCACGTAAATATGAAGATCACCGGCGTTTCTTGTGCCAAACTGTCTTTTCAGTTTACGCTTTCTGAGCATTCACGTTTTCCACATTCTGTGTGTGGACATCCGCGTTATCTGGAGCAAAAAAAAAAAATATTGCAGTCTCTTTTTCTTCCTGGCATATCGGTAGTTTGGCAGTTATTTAAATTTATTAGTATTGTGCTACATAACTTTATAGCCTCTATACGGAGGCAAAAATATTAACAGAGACTCCAATGTAAGAATAGTTGTTTAAATAGCCCTTCCAACCGGAACAACTGGATTTTTTTTTGGCGGACGCTAAAATGGTAGATTACCACAGCGAGTACAGAGTGAGTTACAACTATTACAAGTTACAGAGTAAACAGAAAAAAAAAAAATTGCATTCATTCATTAAATATCTAACACACTGACACTGACACTGTTAGTGTTAGTAACAGACCTTAAATATGGCATCAACCAGTCATATTGAAATATCCAAGCTTGAATTTATTTAACAACAATTGATACATTACTTATATCCTCAGTGATGTTTGCTTTTCTTACCAAAACAAAATGAACAAGGGAGTCAAATATATACCAAACGAGTATCCAGCGTTCTCCTTTTGGTAGTTTGCTTCCGAGGTATTGTCCTAATAAGAATGCAAATCCAGCAAAGATTACAGTTGAAAATAAAGACACTACTTGCGTAATATCTATAACAACTTTCATTCTTGCTGTACTACTTGATTGGAAGGGAAACATAGAATTTAAATTGTCATATATCTTTTTGGTCAGGTATTTCAAATTTCATATTTTTTTAGGTAAATATTATGCCTGTCGTTACCGGAAGTGGCAACTAAAAGCCGAATCTAAAAATTGACAAAAGAATATTTAGTGAAACGAACTATTGACTATTGTCCAGTATCATAACTATAACTTCGTGTTCGAATAAAGAAGCGACCAATTTCATTTATCAAAATTAAGTGTCCATTAATTATATTTCAACAAATATACAATGGCATCAGTCCAGATTGTTGGGGCTCCCCGTGAAAAACTTCTAGCTCTTGAAAAGATTGAAAAAGATATTGCCACAGTATTACAAACAGCTGGTTAGGCATTTCTAAGTATTTAATTTAATTTAAATAATATATTATAATATATAATTTTAAAATAATATACTATCAAATAATACTATTACTGTTTACTATTTTTACTTTTTATTTATTAATATTTATTTACCTAAATAATTTAGTAATATTAATTAGAGTTAGAATCTTTGACATAAATTTTAAATATTGTCCTCTTGCCACAATTTGCATAAATTAAATGATGATAAATAATAAATAATTAAATGATACATCATTGTACTATAAATACTATAATTATAATAATATATGGTCATATAGATAGTGTCCTCACTCATAGTATACAGTACTACAATTACAAACAAAGTACAGAGTAAAGTGTAAAGCTTGACTTTGCAGTTAATTGCAGAAGCAAACATACCAAGTCCAAGTTCATCTTTCTATACCTATCTTTTATAACTTTTATATAATTAATAATAATTTATAGCAATGGAGTTATGATTTTTGGTGAATTTTTTATAGCTATTTTTTATTTAATTTTAACTTTGTATTTTTGAGGAGGAAAACATATTACCAATCAGTCCAATACCTGGCTGGGGGGGTGGGGGGGGGCAACCATGGCACTTGTCAGGGGCCTGAGCTAGATTGGGGCCCGCCCTTTTTCGAGTTTTTAATAGAGACAGTGGTGTAGCTAAGGGGATGCGCACCGCAACGAGTGACAACATCTCAGGGGTGACACCAAATTGAAAAATTGCATACTTACAATACACACACTGCTTGGTTTAACCGAATTTCATAAAAGGATAACCGATCATGTGTACATTTTTCACACATGTAACCAATCCAAAGGCGTGCTTTGTTAAAAGTTCAAGTTTGATGTGTCAGCAAAGAGGTGACCCTATAATTACAATACAAAATTACCCCCCCCCCCCCCCCCCCCTTTTTTTTTTTCATTCCCACACCCAAAAAAAAAATATAGTAAAATGTTTGTGAGTACCTGTAATGATATTGATTTCTGTCGTGTATTAATTTAGTTTCCTGGGAAAAATTCAAAAGGCAGGTAGTCAGTGGGGTTGGAGATGGGGATTCTAGTCCCTTCCCCAACTCAGATTGAAAGCAACTGCTTCCTTCCTAATTAATCCAGATTACAAAGACCCTATCGAGGTTCTAAGATTTTACTTCAAATTTCAAGCACTCAAAGAAAAAAATTATCTAATTCCTAGGTCAGGCACTCCAAGAACTTTCCAAAGACAAGCCAGCATTTAAGCACGTTGAGGGTCACACATCTAACTTTTTGAAAACTCTGCAAGAGATAGAAAATGGTCTCAGTCAGCAAATCAGTTATTTAAGCCAAGTGACTACAGGTAGGTAATCAGGGCCGATTCAAGGCAGGTACAATGCGTGATCATCACACAAGGGCCCAAACCGCAAGAGGCGGCAAAATTTGTTAAAATAAAAAAAAAAATTTTTTTGTGAACTCTCCCCATAATATTCCTGAGGGTGACAATTGCCAATTTTCACCCAACCTAGCGCCGGCCCTGCAGGTAATAGTAATAGTTACTTTTCAATGAATGTCTTTTTGTAATCTGCTCTCAATACAACTGTAGGATCCAAAAAGTGATGTGGTGCATCAGGTCTAATTTTTTAAAGCATTAATGAATATTTCCACTATTCACTTTTTTTAAATTATACATTTCATGTAACACTGTTGGGTAGAAACAGCAAGTATTAATGAGCTTTTTGACTCCTCATTGCAAACATGACTAGAGGTTCATAACTGAAAGCACAATACATGATAGTGCCATTTTACAGACTTACAAAAAAAACCAAAAATTATCCCTAAGAGCTCAAGAGAAGATACTGATCTTCTATTGAGCGCCGCCCCAGGTGGCGGATAGGAAAAAGTCCACCAGATGTGGCAGGTACTGGGGAAATAAAATACCCTGGGTGGATCAAAATCAGAACCTACTGCCTCGTAGGAAGTGGAGGAATCTACATAGGCTAGGGACCCGACCCATTACAAAGGCAGCTACCCTGAGAGCTGGAAGGGGCATCCCCACAGACGATTGACTGACGACCCTGTCACTTAAAAAAGCAAGTGTTACGAAAGTCAAACCACATACAGAAAAACGGACTGATAATTTTGGATGTCGAAATCTGACCAAAAATATGATATACGGATAGCGACTTGGAATGTACTTGGTCTATGCAGAGGGGGAGCAATGGCTGGCCTCAGAAAGGAATTTTTAAGATATAGAATATTGGTTGCCCACTGTTCAACCAACCAACATTAAATGAAATAAAAGATGTAATCTCCAACATGAAAAATAACAATGCCCCAGGAATAGACCTTATATCTGCAGAAGTGATTAAGCTAGGTGGAAATGAACTGTATAGGCAAATCCACGACCTCATACCCAGAATCTGGCGAGAGGAAAAAATGCCAATAGAATGGGACACTGCCCTCATAATCCCAATTCACAAAAAAGAATCTAAGTTGGTTTGCTCTCCTTCCCTAATGTAATGTACAAAATTCTCACAAAACTTATAGCAATAAAACTGGAAAAGTATAGTGAACAGATCCTAGGGGACTATCAATGCAGATTTCAGCAGAATAGGTCAACCACAGATCATATATTTACTATACGATGTCTCCTGGAGAAATGTTATGAATATAACATCGACATACACCAACTATACATGGATTATAAAACAGTATAAGATAGCATAGACAGGAATTACTTGTACAGCGCTCTACAAGAACTTGGAGTCCCTAAAAAGCTTACTCGCCTCATACATATGACAATGGCTAACTCCAAAAGTAGAATCATGGTGCAGGGAGAATACTCTAGGGAGATCCCAGTTAATCGGGGCCTCAGGCAAGGATGCTCACTATCATGTATCCTGTTTAACATCACACTAGAAAAATTTATTAGAAGCATACACGTTAGCACCAGTGGAACCATAACAAGCTACTTCCAGCGAGGTATTACAGAACAAAAACCATCAAGAACCTTATATAGCGAACCATTGCAGTACCTGCCATACGCAGAGAATATAGCGCTGCTGGGTAGAAACAGTAATAACAATTAAAGCAATCAGGGAACTTGCCTCATTCAAAGCTGGTCTTGATGTAAATGAACCGAAGACAAAATATATGATAATGTCAAGAAACTCCTACGCTGATGACATCATCAATATAAACAGCCACAAATTTGAGAGAGTGGCTACATTCAAAATATCTAGGGGCAACTATAGACAAGCACAGTGAGATAATGTCAGAGGTGAAAGAAAGGATAACAGTAGGCAACCGTTCCTATTTCAGCCTACAAAAGCTACTGGGAGGCAAAAACCTCTCAAGGGGAACAAAGAAGACAATCATAAGACCAGTAGTAATTTACGCTAGTGAGACTTGGACCCTTACTAGACAAGAAGATAACCATCTCAATACAAAGGAGAGGAAAATCCTCAGAAAATGTATGGCATAGTGATAGAAAATGATATCTGGAGAATCTGTATAAACCAAGAGCTATACCAATTGTACTAAGAGCCACCCATAGTAACAACAACAAAAAATGCAGACTACGTTACGCAGGACATATTGAAAGGAAGCTGGAATGTAGAGCAGCAAAAGTGATTTACAGGCAGAAACCTATTGGCAGACGACTCACCGGTCGCCCAATGATGACAAAGATCGATGATTGAGAGAAGGATTTACACCAGTTGGTGGTTCGAGCATAGAGGCGGAAAGCCATGGATCGTTCCAAATGGAAGGGTGTGATGGAGCAGGCCAGGGCCCTACATAGGCTGTAGCGTCACGGATGATTATGATGAAAACCGTAAGAGGAAAAACAACCACTGTAAGGGTAAAATCCTAGTAAAAAACACGCAGGGAAAGTTAGCATTAAGGAACTGCATATTTCAGCCTACCAATACTATTTGGAAGCAGAACTGTGCTTTGGAAAACAACAGCTAAAACGTAGATGAATAAACGGGAGTAATAAATAAAAAACAAAAGTACGGTAGTGATTTTTGTATCAATATGAACTTTTTTATAATACATCTACAATTTCCTTGAATTAGTAAACTAATGTTTGGAAGACACATCCCTGAATGTCAGTTGTAGTTAATGGCTAGATGATAGATTTGGCTATAACAGCTCAGACTGTCTAAACGTTTTTTTTGTTTTGTTTCTAAACTATTGTATTCCTTAGGCCAACCCCATGAGGGCTCGTCATATGCATCTCAGAAAGACCTCCAGATGGCGATGCACAGATTAGAGCATGTGAAGAGCCGCCTCAGTGAGCTCGACAAAATTAAACAAGAGCATCTGCGGCAGAAACACACTGGCATTATTCGAAGCTTCTCCATGTCCGAGCAGCAGCAACCCCACACTCCACAACAGCAGCAGCCGCACACACCGCAGCCACAGCAACAGCAGAAACAAAGGGATCAACAGCGAGAACAGCAGGCACAACTCTAGAGTCATCAGCTATCCCAATATTCCTAGAAGCACCCATGCCTTGAGTCAAGTATTGCTGGCATATTGAGCATGATCACTCATCTCACCACAAAAAAAAAAGTGAATGGTGCTGATGATTAGTAATTTTTTGTGTGAGATGGTGACAACCCAGGCTTACATAAATCAGACTAGATTACTCTTCCTAGCAGAAGTCTGTTCTTCATCACAGCCAGTTTTTATGATTTATTGTTATGGTAGTGAAAAATATATATTTATTTCAAGGATATGTATGAACAGCTTTTTTTTTTTTTTGTCGGGGGGAGGGGGGGGGGGAGGGATAAATATATATAGTAATGCACTATATAGTAATAACAAATGTAAAATTTGTGTGTTGGTTATGGTTGTTGGGGGTGTGGGGTGGGTGGGTGTGGGGAGAGATAAATATATATAGTAATGCACTATATAGTAATAACAAATGTAAAAATGTTGTATTATGAAATAATGAATGTCACAAGTTTGCTCTGTAAGCTTTGAACACTCTTCTCCAGCATCAATATCTCTTAAAGTAAACAAAGATTTCCTACCTCTTCTTCCACTTATGCCTTTTTACGCCATCCACAAGAATTCTCCATTCATCAGGGTCCTGTGCTTTCCTTTCCAGTTGTTTCCAGATCTATCCCATATTTTGCATGTCTGCCTCTAGCTCGCATCTCCATGTATTCTTTGGCCTTTCTCTCTTTCTTTTTCACCGTGGATTCCATAATAGGGATTGTCTGGTGAGGCTATGTGGGGGTTTTTGGAGAGTATGCCCTATCCACCTATCTTTTCTTTAAGATGTCTTCATAAATGGACATCTGGTGGGTCCTTTCTAGTAGATCTTTGTTGGTGATAATATTTGGCCCTTTGATGTTCATGATCTTTCTAAGGCATGTGTTTATGAAGGTCTGCACTTTCTGCATAATGCTCGCCGTTGTTTTCCAAGTTACTGCTCCATATAGTAGGACTGTTTTGACATTTGTGTTAAAGATTCTGACTTTGGTTTGCAGTTTCAGCTCCTTCGACTCCTATATTTTCTTTAATTGCACAAATGCTGATCTAGCTTTTCCAATTCTAGCCCTTACATCCGTTTCGGATGCGCCATTTATGTCGATGGTGCTGCCTAAGTATGTGAAGGACTCCACTTCTTCCAGTGCCTTTCCTGCCAGAGAGATATGCTCTTGGTTAGATAAGTTTACCTTCATGATCTTTGTCTTGCTTTTATTTATAATGATTCTGAACTCTGCTGAAATGGTGGCTACGTCTTTTGTCTTTTCCTGCATTTTTTGCTGGTTGTGGGACAGAAGTGCAATGTCATCTGCAAAGTCTAGGTCATTCAGTTGTTCCCAGAGTGTCCACTATATCCCATTCCTCTTTTTTGTCTGTGGATTTTTTCATTATCCAGTCAATGGCGAGGATGAATAGGAAGGGGGACAAGAGACATCCTTGTCTGACTCCAGTTTCCACTTTAAAGTCATCTGTGAATCTACCTTCGTGTACCACCCTGCATGTCAATGTCATTTCTTTATGAGAACTCTGAATGATCATGACTAGTTTTCCTGGTACTCCATAGTGCCTAAGAAGTTTCTCAGTCACTGTCCAAATAAAATCTCATATTTCTCTTGTTAAAGTTAAAAGAATGATAGTTTTTGTTCTTTTAAAAAAAGATGAGTTGTTGACTAAATTTTATGCAAAAGCTGATAATTTATTATAATTTATTGTACATTTCTTTAGCAAAATACAAAAAGTATTCATCAATACTATGATTCAAAATGTGGTTCATGCTGTACATCTTTCAGTTGATGTGTTTGGAGTATGGCTATGTGATGCACTCAAGCAAAGAATGAAAGAAGCTGGAATTTTTCAAAATCTGTTTGGTGGGTGTGGAAATAATTGTCATGACCCTGTGTTCGGCATATCATATCCACCAGAGAGTTTTTTTTCTAGATTGTGGATTGTTGTTGACTATGCTGCACGATGACAATAATTCTAGATTCAGTGTTTTAACTGGATGTGAAGTCTAGCATTGTTTATGATCTTTAAATTTTATTTTAAAATTGTATTTTTAACTGTACACAAATAACCGTTACGTGAATCAATACTATGGTGTTTTTTATTTGCTATCTTTGTTTATTTCTTTAATTGTCGCAAAAAGCGTAGACAGGTGATCTTTATTTAAGATGACTCTGGTGAATGAAAAAAAATATAACGCAAGAACTAAAATGGCACTCCCAAAAAAGTTGGTCAGCCTTTTCTAATATGATTGAACTTTTGATCAAACATTCAAATCAAAGTACACATTGTCTTAGAGATAATAGTTTTTTAATCTTATGATCAAAAAATGAATTCTCCATTCTGCACCTCTGACCAGGGTTCACCTGCTAACCAAGAATAGTTCCTATTTTGGCACTTATAAGTTCATGCTACACTGCCATTGACCCCAGACAAATTCAAATCAGCTACCTCTTGACTTTAAAAGCTGCTATGTTACCATCTCACTTCACGGCCGTAAAAAAAAATAATTTTTCACCTAATTTCAAACATTTGCTCATTAAAGGAATATCTGGACCGAGTGAACAGTGGTTAGCTCTATGCAGCCTATGAGCCATGACTCCATAGACAGGGTGGCACCAAATGATTATATTGTAAAATTATTATCATTAAAAACAACTGCCCTTTAATATTTGCTTTTAATCCTTGATAAATATATAAACAAATTTTTAAAAAAACAAGCATTGGCCATGTTTTTATGGTTTGAAAATTCTTCAGATCCTTGGAGGGGCGTTGCTAGGGTTAAGCCGCCATGTGTGGCCAGGGGCGTTGCTTAGGTTAAGCTGCCATGTGTGGCCAAGGTCGTTTGCTAGGGTTAAGGTGCCATGTATGGCCAAGATTTTGGCTGCCCTCCTTCCATGTAAAAAATCTGCATTTGACCAAAATGTCACCCCATATAAAGAAACAAAATGTTGCCCATGGGGAGGGGGGGTATGCCCCTCATCCTGTCCTACACCACAGGACCCTCTAAATTTTGAAAAGGTTCACTTTTACATCCTTTTCTTTCAAAAATAGTGTCAGTTACTTTTTTGTTACCTATTGAAAGTTCTTATTTCTCTCAATTTTTTGTTGTTGTACCCTGCTCTTAAATTAAGAACCATGTTATGTATATTTGTATATGTTGAAAATAAAATTATCCCCTTAAAAACGGGAAATGTAGTTTCTTTATTTGACTATTTCAGTTATAGCCTACCTTTTACAGTGAAACAGCTGAAAGGCTTAGTTAAAGTGATTGAGTAGTAAAAGCGTATGCATCACTTTGCTGATCAACCTACTTAAGGGGGGGGGGGGGGGAAGGTTCCAAATTGTTTCTTGCATTGAAACATTTACCCCTCAAAATAGGGTGTCTCCTGTTCAAGTGAGTTTATGTTTTTTGTGAAATGAACTCCCCAAAGCTATTAAAATAACACACACACTTCTTTCTCATAAACAAATTTGAACGGGGGGGGGGGAAATCACATGGGTGTTATTAGGTATCGCATGTTCACTTAGGTAGCAAGCTTCATTAAGGATGCATTTTGTTTGGCTAGTGTCAACTATTCTAAGGAGCGAGACGTCGAAAATGGCTGTCAGATTTGCGTTGATAGGAAGAACATAAGAATCAGATTTTGGTCATATAAGCATACATGGCTCACCCTCGCGAAATGTCATAGTTAAAGTGTAAATTCTTAATGCTTAACTAAGTAATGGGGAACCGTAAAAGAGAACAGTAAAATGTTTTCGTACTGTTAATTGTGTACTCAGGGTATTGTATGGATTGTTAAATTGGGGCATTGCGCTCACTGGTCACTAATGTATTCAGGTATTGCTTCAAAAATTTCAACCGTTCATTTTGGCATCCGTAATGAGCTAGAGTATAAACTGTCAGGGAGGGCCATCAGGGGAAAAGGGAGAGGCCGCGGGGACTAACGGGAGAGGCACCGGGGGCCAATGGGAGAGGCAACATGGGCAAAGGGAGAGGCATCAGGGACCAACGGGAGAGGCACCGGGGACCAATGGGAGAGGCATCGAGGCCGATGGGAGAGGCAACATGGGAAAAGGGAGAGGCATCAGGGACCAACGGGAGAGGCACTGGAGGCCAAGGGCAAAGGCATCGAGGCCGATGGGAGAGGCAACATGGGCAAAGGGAGAGGCATCAGGGACCAACGGGAGAGGCACTGGGGGCCAATGGGAGAGGCAACATGGGCAAATGGAGAGGCATCAGGGACCAACGGGAGAGGGACCGGGGGCCAACGGGAGAGGCACTGGGGACCAACGGGAGAGGCACTAGGGACCACTGGAGAGGCACCAGGGACCAACGGGAGAGGCACTGGGGGCCAATGGGAGAGGCAACATGGGCAAATGGAGAGGCATCAGGGACCAACGGGAGAGGGACCGGAGGCCAACGGGAGAGGCACCGGGGACCAACGGGAGAGGCACCAGGGACCAACGTGAGAGGAATCGGGGGCCAATGGGAGAGGCAACATGGGCAAAGGGAGAGGCATCAGGGACCAACGGGAGAGGGACCGGGGACCAACGGAAGAGGCACCGGGGACCAACGGGAGGGGCACCGGGGCCCAACGGGAGAGGCACCGGGGCCCAAGGGGAAAGGCCTCGGGGCC